GGTAAAAGATTTGCAACTGCATCCCAAGTGTCTGTAAAGGGCACGTTAGAAGACAGCACGAATAGGGGGTTACTGCTATTTGTTTTATAATTAATCACAACTTAAATTATGGTCCTCAGAATGTCAGATCTATCTTATTGACTTGACTGTTGCTGTTGAACTGACTTGTTGGAGAGGGAGAGCCGGAGAAGAGCAGGAACGCTGAATTATATAGTCCCAGCTTAGTGCAAGGGCTGTCAGTCCAAATGGCTCCCACTGCCAAGCAGCTGCTATGAGCAAGCAGAGCTGGAGCTTCCAGTCCCGTGGATTTCACAAAATATTCATGTTTTACCATTCTCCCTGGTGTGATTCTGTGGAGAACTCAGTGCAGCGTGTCGTGGTGCACGCTGAGGGTCTCCTCTGCTCGGGGCGCAGCTTTAGGTTCAGCCACCGCTCGCCCGTGGGAGCCGGGGCGGGGAGCGCTGCCCTGGCGGGGGGGACGCTCCGCTTCCCAGCGCCTGCGTCTGGAGTCAGCGCCTACTGCTGCTGTTGGTTGCGAAGAGGGTTTCTCACTGCGTGCGGTAGCTAGATGTACCCTGTGTCCAGGGCTTCTGGAAAATAATTTTTTGCTTTAACCTAGAAAGCATTGTCTAAACCCACTTTCAGGCTGTCCCTCTGGGCCTGGAAACAGTCCCAACAGCATGGATGTGTAGAAGACCTGAGACTTGTATAAAGAATATCTTGAATATCTTTTCTGTTAATACCTTAGGTTCTAAACCTTGAAAAGAATCTTTTAAAATGTCTTCCACAATCTATAGGAGACCTTGCCCAGCTCCAGATGCTCAATGTGAAAGGTATGGCACATGTTTCTTGTCAGTGCTCTGAGCAAAGCACCTTTTATTATCTGGGTCGTGTTGAGCTGCGTTAGTAATTATTCCTTTCAACCAAGGCAAGCACCAAATGGTTTACACTGTGAATGCTAAGGAAGAACACAGGAAAGATTTGAATTCAAATAGTTGGCAAGGCAGGAGAAATTATCTGAGCAGAAAATGGGTCAGTCTTGGTCCATATGATGCTTTCATTCAGCCCATTGCCTTCTCTCAAAGGAGAGGTGGTTGGGTCATCATGCCCGATCTCAAGAGCTGAAAGCTTACTTGCGTGCCTGCACGTGGCCGGCATTCCAGAGCCCCAGCTGCCTCATTCCTGCGGCGAGAAGTGCCGAGCGGGCTGGAGGCACACGTCTTCCTCTGGGAGCGTGAGACCCACCTCGAGCTGGGAGCCCTCTATGTGCCCTGCAAGAGGAGTCCCAGGCCAGGGCTTGTCCCCCTCTGGGTAATGATTTAGACCAACCTGAGAAATCAGTCTATGCAGATTCAAGTGTAAGAAAAATAGAAGGTCTTTGGCAGAAGCAGTTCAGTAAAGCAAGCAGAGCAGTCAGCCCAGATAAACTGGATTACAATTAAAAGTCCACCGACACCCGGAGCTCGGTCCTGTGGGTCTGTGTAGCCCTGCCAGGTTTGCACAGCCCTAACAGAAAGGTCACAACCGTACCTCTTTTCAAGACTCCTGGGAATTTTCCAGGTTCACAGTGCCATAAATTTGGGAGAAAAAGGAGACTTTGTTACAGGGAGCTGTTGCTGAAACAGGGAAGGAAATGGAGGGCGAGGAACTTGGAAGCACAGCTCAGTTCATTGGCGTATCTGTCTGCAGCACCTGGCCTCTGACCCCTAGATGTGCAGTCCCACACGCAGTCCCCTTTCTCCCATCTCTGGTACTTGCACCGAAGGGAAGAAGACTCCATGTTACAAATATTCTCCTGGTAAAGACCCCAGCTCCAGCCTGCCGCAGTGACCTCAGCTGAGAAGGTCGTTTCGGCGTGAGGAACCACTGCTGGACCTGTGCACTCGGGCTGTGCGCAAGCAGATTGTGATCCCCATTTGCCTTGGTGGGCAACGGCAGCCTTTGGAGTCCTCGTGTGACCCGTGATAGCCCCGTCCCTGTAGCAGAGTACAGAAAATGAGTCATACGTAGGACTGTGGTTTGGTGTTCCAGCAGATGAACTTGCTGGGTCCTGCTTTGGAAAAGTTATGTGGTACTAAATGACTTTTCTCTCTCTCTAGGTAACAAGCTGAAGGAGCTGCCTGCTACCGTGAGCGGCTTGCGGAGTTTGCGCACTCTGGATATCAGCGAGAACGTGCTGCAAGAGCTGCCACGGGTGCTGGCTCACCTCCGCACGCTGGAGGTACGCACCCAGCCAACCGTGTCTGTCTCTCCCCTTCGCAGGCTGTTTATTCTGCTGCAGGCTGCTTCCCTTCCTACTTGCTCAATACAATAATAAATTTAGCATAGAAAGTGAATTTTTAGGGCTTGGGCAGGGCCCGCTGTGGGGGATTGTAACAAGGCTATATGCGGTTCGTGGTGTCCGAAATAGCTTTTGCATACTCTTCCTGCTTTGATCTTTTCTGATCACTTTTTGCCATGGCTGAATCATGACAGAAGTCATCCACAGGGAGTGAACCCCCAGGTATTTTCTGCCAGGGCTGTCTCTGAGAGCACGAACTGTGCCGGTGGGCTCAGGTTGACTCAGCCGCTTTCCACCAAGGCTGATTCTAAATGAGCAGATGGGATATTTCCGATGAGGTTTTTGCCTCCGTTGCCGTGACAGACCTCTGACTCATTGTCAGCCTCCATAAGTTTCTGGCTCCCTGGAGTGCACATTCAAAGTGGGACAAGCATCAAGATTTTTATGGATGTGTTACCTTCTGGCTGCCACACTTGTCAGTACTAAACTGTGCAAATGTCAGGCAACAGGGCTGACTCAGGCACCAGCATGGAGGATGCGAATAGATGCTCTCCTGTCTCCAATGCACAACATTAGGCTTCACTTCTCTTGTGGGCAGTCTCTGAGATGAGGGATCTGTGCAGCTTGCTCTCCTGTCCTTGATAAAGTGGTTCCTTTCTGGGCCTTCCTGCTAAGCCCTTCTCTACAGGAGGCAACCTTAGGTCCTTTTGGTGGCCACAGTAGGACAAAACATCAAGTGGTCCTTCCACTTAATCTTACTGGTGCTGCTCTTCTCTCTGTGTCCTTTGTATCACCATCCCTTCCATGCATCATGCTTAAGGGCTCCTGCATACAGAAATGCATAGAAAATTTCTGTAATTGAGAAGTGCTGTGCCCTCTTGTGCTTAAACACAAAGTAGACATGTCTGCGTGAGGGCGATGTTCCACTGAAGGACCAGCTCAGAAGCTCCCAAATAAGAGACAGCAGAGTCACCTCTGAGAGGTGTCAAACCCCCAGCGGAAATTCAATACAAACTCGTATTTATGTCAGAATTTAGGGTAACGTGAAATTATCACTCCATAAGTGAAATGTTGGGGAGCCGCAAGGATAACTGCAGTTGGGGTCTGGCTGGGCCACCAGAATAACCTGCAGCTCTGTGTGTTCTCTTTTGGAGACGCTGACCTTGGATGCTTCTTCCATGACCTACCCATCACCTGATATTTGCAGTGCAGGCACAGAGTCCATTCAGCAGTTCCTCTGCAAAGGTAAGCAAGGAGAGTGTGCGGATGGTAGTGAGAACCTGGGGGGCTGCGCTGTGCTCTCATTAGGTGCTGTGGCGTGTTCACAGATTGCATTAATGAAGGACGAGCATCGGGTTGGCTCTGCCTGGGGTGGTTTTTGATGCTCTGCACACGCGGCAGGCTGGTCAGTGAGTGAGGTGTCTTTGCTGGCAGAAAGCGAAACAGGAGTCCTTCCTTGAGACTTGCTTTTTACTGTCACACTGTAATTTATAATGGTTTTATTAAAACACCAGAATAGCTGAGTCAGAGACTGTCTGAGTGACCATAAGAAGTCATTGCATCTCCCTGTGGTTTTGTTTTCTCATGTGTATTTTCTCAAGTAGGAGGTTTAGGCATTGTCCAGGTATAGCTGCCTTGGGACAAGGAGATAGAGTCAGCAGTCACTCGAGGTCCCTTCTACCCTCATTTGCTGTGAGAAAGGACTGGGGGGCTGCAGACCGACGGTTTGTTAAGAGAAAGATGAAACCAGATGGGAAACTCAGAGGACAAAGATAATGTACTGTGACTTTGCACACACTGAGTTTAATCCAGACAGGAAGGTTTGGAAGAGGTTTTATGCAGGCGAAGTGCCTTGCCAGACATCGTGCTCATCCCTGAAGTAAAAGGACAGTCAGAACATATTTTAATACGGGCGGTAACATTTGCAGCCCTGCAGACGTCAACATGCCTGTACCTGTGCGAAGGAAGCGTTTCTCTCCGAGCAGGTTAGCTTTGATCGTCTTCCTGGTGGGAATGGGGTGGCACTGCCTCCCTCAGAGCTTCTTGTTGTTAAGCCTGCCTGAGCTGAAGGAGCTCTTTTGGAAGCAGTCTCACACACCAGCCAGCCCTCGGCCATGCTGCCAAGGAGGTCTTTAAGCACCAAATGTTCTTGTTTTTCTGTCTGATACCTTCCAGAGTGTGGAATTGCGTACTACCCTCCCTCGCAGTATCTGCTCCCCACGCTGGAGAGTGATGGAGGAGGAACTTCGGTGGATGGGGTGGACAGGGCAGTGCATAAGTACTTGGAGGAGGAGAGCGAGTGGCAGGTGAGGCTCCACTGCCTGTGAAGTTGTGCGAGAGGGTTTTGGATTTATCCCTCTGCTCCATCAATGGATCTCCCAGCACTTAGTGCATCCTCCCTTATCACCTTTTCCCCCACGAGATACGTCTTTTAGGATCAAGAGAGCATCGGTGCCCAGAAGCAGACATAGCACCGTGGGTGTGGGTGACTCATCTCCTCCCCGACAGTTGGGGATGGTGTTACCACTGCTGACTGCTGGAACACAGATCGTAAAGAACTGTCTCTGTCCTTGAAAGCAATGATGCAGTCAAGGGAGAGGGGTGACAATGTGACACAGTGTGTGCAGCATGGGCACACATGCGATTTTGGGGGGGGACAGCAAGCTGCAGAAGAACCTTGTGATTCCCAGCCAAGTGCTAGGCATGTCCAGCCCTACCTGGGAAAGGCGAGGCCAGGCACGTAGTTATGATAAACTGTGCTAATTCCTGTGCTGTTTAGCAAGTACAGAGTAAATTTCTTTGACCCTGGAGAAGGATGAATGACTGGACTTTGTGGCTATGTTAATCTTTTTGTGCCTTTGGTTGATGTCTTTACTCAGCTAG